TCTGACTACGGATCAGAAGATTCTAGGTTCGACTCCTGGCTGGCTCGACTGTTTTAAAAACGCTGTCAAAAGTAACTACCATCTTTAATCCGCACAGACCCTTATTTCTACTGTCAGAATAGGTCGATTTCCATTGCAGCTCGGATGTCGATAGGCTCCATCACAGGCCGCACCAAATACCTGCAGTTCAAGATGGAATGTTCAGTTTTAAAAGTTCTCAAGATGGCGGTGTAATGTAAAGTTAAAGTAAACTTGTGGTTGATGAGCGGCAATTGAAAATGTATTCAATCAAATGATCAGACATCAAGCCTGAATAATCAAGAACAGATTAATAATAAATAATAGTGTATTATTTCTTTTAAATTGAACTAACTGTACAATAAACAGTATTTACTGCCAGTAAACCATCATTTGAGCGGTGAGGGTAATAGAAGCTGACGTTAACTGACGGAATCACAAGTGCACTTGTCTGAAAATGAATGATCATCACGGTTCAACGGTTTGTTTGTGAACGCATCCTCACATGAATGGTGAATCTGAATGGACTGTTTGTCTCTCCCTGTGAGGAACATTGAAGTGGGCCATTTGTGAATGTCAGAACTCTTCAACAGGTTAAAGTGGGCAAAGTGTCTGCTCATTAGCAACATTCATGTTGTAGCCGTGTCCCCCTGGCTTCAGTCACAGTGAGTCACAGAGTCAAAAGGTCCTGTTGGGTTAGGAGGTTTGTTTACCGCACGGCACAGAGGTTAGGGCCTCAGCCATGGCCATAGCCGGATGACCAGAAATAGACCCGAGTCTCACAGATGCCTTTCAGAGGCAGTCATTTATCCGCCGGAGACCCAGTCATTTTAAACCTCTCCTAATAGTACGTTACATCATGGACCAGAAGATCAGGGTTTTACAAATGTTTTTTTTTTTAGGTTAACAGTCCTCCTGCTCAACTTCCCCAGCCTAACCATGTACGCTCCCTCCGCGTTTAGATCCTCTTCTCGGCAGACGATGAGATGGATGAGTCTGATGAAGACGACGTCCGACGGCTCACCGGTCTGAAAACGGTGAAGAAGAAGAAGCTTCGCATGGGGATCCCCGTTTGACCCGCGTGCCTAGCTCCACCGCCACCATCACCTTTCCCCTCGCAGCTCTCCCCCCCCACCAGCTGCTGAGCGCCCCCCACACCTCCGCAGGTGACCAGGACAAAAGAGGTGACTCTCCTGGAATTCCACTCTCCTGTGACTCCAGGAGGAGGACCTCAGAAAACATGTCCCAACTGGGCAATAGAACGTTACGTTGCATTTAACCACAATTGTCAGATAACTGTTGCATGTTGACACGTCGACCCCTGAGATAACTGTTGTGTTTAAGGACAGGGGGAAAAGAATCCATCAGTAGTGTACGGATGATAAGGGACGACTAGCACTGCTTAACTGATGGAACTTAAGATGCTATTTGTATAAGTGTACTAGTCCAGCAATGAGTCGGTTGGACAGATGTTTCTGTCTCTAAGGGAGCAAAACGCCATGCCTACAAGTTGGATAGCCTAACATCACCTGAAAGTAATCGTATTCCTGATGTAGTTTCCATGTGAACTTTGTCCTCTCATGTACACACACCGCTTTGGCCTGTGGTGTGTATGTTTGTTGTGTGTGTGGGAGTCAGAGGGGAGGAGCCTTCTGTCCGTTATGGGATCACTGAATTGATGCAGCTCTTAACACTTTTCAGCACAATTACATTCTTTATTACTTTACGTCTTCTACTTTTGTCAAAGGGAGCATGTACGTTCTGAACCACAATTCCATTTTCGTCTTCATAAAAGTCCTAAAATGTCTCTTCTCAGCTGTTGAGCCCTTAAAATAGGACTGCAGACCTAATGTCAGCAGCCAGTGTCTGTCTGAAGATATAAAGCAGCGGTATCAGTTTCTTTGGGACCGTTTTTGTTCAAGTGTTCTGGTCACATGCATTTGTTTTTCTCTCTGAATGTTTTTCAGTTTTGAGTGTTATTCTCGGGCCAAAACAAAAGTAAATATGCTCGTCTCCAAAGTGTTCTTCATCGCGTCACTCGAAGAAAGAGTTCATGTGGGAACCATTTCCTGCACATTACCCCACGGATCACAGCCTTTATCTTTCCTTCCCTTTTATTTTGTGTCGTACTTTTTTTTGTCCAGTCATGTGCCTGGATGAAATGGACAGCTGATGTTTCGTGTGTCCCGTTTTTTGTTTTTTTGGTAGGTTTAGCGTTCTTTGTTTGATGTGAGCAGAGCTTCAGATCCTCAGCATTCAGCAGGCTCTGATGTTAAGAATGTGACTTGCTTAGACCTTTAAACTGTAAAACTATGACTGTGGACCAGACGGCTGAGAGAAAGCCGTGTGTTGTTGTGTGTGTGTGCGAGTCTGTGTGTGTGGATGGCAGTGTGTACACATACGCATATACAGTACACCTGCCTGCACTGGTGTGTGCAGAGCGTGTGTGTGTTGGTGCGGTGAGTGCTGCTGGTCCTATTTAAACGTGAACGGAGTGACACAGCCCGTGACGACTGCAGGGCTGGTCACGTTCTTTCTGTGTGGCGTTATTTTGGCATGGGGAGGAACAAAGGACGTCTTAAAAAAGGGGGAACTGCAGAACCTCGCTGCAGTTGTTACAAAGCTTGGCCCCGACCAGGACCAAGAGGGCTTTTACACTATTTTGCAAAGTTTAAACTCCTCAACAACTTAAAAAGAAAGCGATGGCGGTGAATAATGATTACAAATGATTTTCAAATAAAACATGTGATACACTAACTATCCAGCTGATTCATTTTCCTGCGTGAAATCTCTTGTTGCCTTTGGGGATGATCACATTTTTATCCACAAGGGTAGAAGCGCGTAGTTTTGTTGAGCAATTCAGAAAGTTCTCATTTACTTTTAGAAATGAAGGATTATGGAAAAGTCAAAGCAATTCTGTGTACAAGACTATTGTTTTGTTTTTTGGTCAATTTTACTGTCACTAATCGTCTTAAATTGTGAGAACACATGTGCTTCCTTTCAGATCTGGATTTGCAACACATCACTGACTTTTACTATTTCCGAAACAGTGAGTCACTTTGCCCATCACCTCACAGCTTATAACGTTATTTCAAATTAGGCCAACAAATCTGATGACTAATGCCGCCCTAACTGGTCTTGCACCAGCTCGTTTTAGGCCATATCATGCTTTTAATAAGCATTAAGTAACCCCAAATAATCACTTACATGTATATTAGCTTGTCCAAACATGTCTTAAATCGACTTACCCAGTGGTTATGTTTTCACACATGATCAAACCTCCTCTAACTTAACCGTCGGGCAAGTTTCCCAGTTTTCTTCTTGGTTCAGCCCCAGTTTTGTTGGTTCATGCTCTAACTGTCTGGAAATCCTTTTCACGAGCTCTAACGACCCCAAAAGAGTTCCATCTGGCTTAGATCAAAGTTTTAGCACTGGGTGGACAGAGCTCTGGAGTTGCGGGGAGGTGTTGCTGGGTGGTGACCACTCTCGGTTCTCCTCTCCGTGCCAAGCTGCACTTGTGTCCAGAATTATCAGCTGTTGGCATGTAAGCTGACGGGGGATCCATTCCCGTTGTACCATCCCTCACGCCTAATAATAGACGCTGACAACAGACAGGAGGGACACTGATGGTGGAGGGTCTCTCTGACTCACTGGGTGTGGACCGGGGCTATATAATGTCAGGCTCCCCGAGACGACAAAGACACGCTTTCAGCAAAGTAACAGCACTGGAAAGAGTCTGTGGAATCTTTACCCCAACTTTTAAAAAAAAACATGTCGCAGGTATGTTTCATCATTTTCTGTTTAGAATTTCATGCAGGGGGGGGATGCCAGGAAAACCATAAATATATATATTTTTTTTAAACGTACGTTTTCTTTCTCCACTATAGACAGGTGGAGTCAAAAAGAAGAAGCGCCCACCGATGAAGGAGGAGGACCTGAAAGGAGCTCGTAGTAAACTAGGGCTGAAGGGTGAAGTCAAGAGTAAGACCTATGAGGTCATGGTGGAGTGCGGTAAGGACAGCCTTAGTCATGTTTTTTTATTTCATATATAGAAAGATTTGACACACTGTATAAGAACACAGACAGGATTAAAGGGGGGCCGAATGCTTTATATTCAGAGCGCAAGAAATATAGAGCATAATATGTGACTGCATAGTCCTTAACATAGCGTAAACGGTCATAACTAAAAAAAACACCGATGCAAAGTAACAAAAGAAGTGTTCCCTGACCGGGAATCGAACCCGGGCCGCGGCGGTGAGAGCGCCGAATCCTAACCACTAGACCACCAGGGAGGTATCGGCTTCATGCACAGGAGATAGTTTTCATCCGGGTCTTTGGTTAAAGTGTTTACGGAAGACCTAATGGGAAACACAGAAACTCAAATATCACGTCTATTATATTCCTGTCAAGTTTTCATGAGTGTTCATGATATTTCCCTTTTGGGACAAATTGCCAATTTATAACACGGTTAAGGCAAACTGGAAGCCTGACACACACCTCTTAGCCCAACTGTTGGACTGCGAGTCACACACTCGACTTCCTGTTTGTGGAGTTTTTCTCTACAGATGAGTAATGGCTGGCTTTGTTTCTCTCCCGTCGGTGCTCAGAACGCGTGGGCAAAGCGGCGCCGTCCGTGTTCAGCGGCGTGAGGACGGGAGCGGAGACTGCACTGTCCGGCCCCGCTGCCGCCGGAGGGCCGGCCACCGGAGTGGTCAGCAAGTAGAGGAGAGGAGAGAGCCTCCTGCGGCCTGTCCGAGGCCCCACTGGACAATGAGGGCTTTTAGGTCTATGGGTATTTTCTTGTTTGTTCGAATCAAAATGTTCTGAATTAGACAGAGATAAATGGGTTCGTCTTGTGCTGGTAGTTTCTTTTGATAATACTGTCGGGCATGCTATGCAATGCTATGTGTTTTCTTTTTTTATATCCACCCATTTTCCCAAATTATTTATTTGCCCTTTGTTAAAAATGCAATGTTGTTGTATTTCTAAGTAATAAACTTTTTTTTTTCCCACCCTGGAACCATTTTATGTTGAAAAAACATATCAGGTCCTTTATGATGGAAGGCCTTTATATTATCAAGCCAACATGGAAAAACAGTATTATGTTTTCTATGTTTTAAAGGTACACCTGACAAATTAATAAGCAAAATCATCTTTATCTGAAGGGATTTGGGGGGGAATTCATTATGCAAATACACAGTGGTAAATCCCATGAGCCCCCCCACTCTGTCCATTGTCAATAATGTTGCAACGTGTGCCCTGTGTCCTGGTTTTGTGAGTCTGCCCTGCCAAATGTTGCGGCGGAAAGTCCGAAAGACAAAACTTCCCCCGAGAACTGGTCAGACTCTTTCAGCCTGGAATACAGAATGCCTTGACCATGATGAGACCACATGTCAGGAAATGGGTGGGGTCAGACTTGGTGTCCCATCAAACACATGTAGATGTATCAGGTGTCTGGAAAATGATTCAAAACCCCTTGGACAGAAGCACAGTTTATATGAGTTCTCCACAGGATATGAGGATGGATTATTTGAAAAAGCACAAACAAATTGCAAGTCAAAGGACTATTCTTTGTCATTTGAATTAAAACAGCTTACTTTACCTACAACCTATGAAATGCAAGTCATTACTCAATATAAAAAGTGAAATGGGGGTCAGCATATGTAAACAGTACCATGTTGTGAAAATGACTCACTAAGTGGGCAGCAAAGAACTGCCTTGAGTAAATAGAAAAATGCTCCCCAGTAACTCCAAAATTCTGCCAAAACTCGCTAATCAATTGCAACTTTATGGAGGGGACAGGCTGATCCGTGTTTTCTTCATGTAGGAAGATTTTAAAAAATGAATTTATATTGCTTTTACGAGAACCAAGGCTAAATAATGATTCTAAATGTTATTTTATCTGATTCCTGGTAAATTACGTAAATGGTGTGGCACCATGGCAAATTATAAAACAAATATTGGCTTTGCAATATTTGAACATAACACCTTGCACTGTACTGAAATACTGTAGTAAGCAACATAAATATGAATCTGTAAATCACAGTACTGTGACATAAAGTGTTTCTCCACTGTCATGCACTTGACACATAATGTTTCCATGATGTCATGTAATCATCTCATTCACCAAATAACATTGTTGGTCCCTATAATTGCTACTTATTCATATCTTCCATGAGGCTTGAGGTCCCCTGTGTTCATTTCTTGTTCTCTCGTAATAAATGGATATAGTTTTAAGTAGAAGCATTCAGACACTCTAATCAAGGCTGCCTTAATATCTTTAAGTACCATTTTGTTCTCAGGATCTGCTGCAGATTTGGCCAAAATATTCTGGTCAATATTCGCAAGCGCAACACACCCACGCTGTCCCTCCCCCAGAGCAAAGAGGCTTTCACAGAAGTGAAGCGAGCCAGTGTTGAGTGGAAGTCCAGTCATGTCTGGACGCTTGGGTGTTTGGCTGCTGCTGCTGTGTGGCTGTCCCTGCCTCTGGCTATCCTCTTTGGCCTCTGGAGCTCTGGTCATCTCCGGGGAAAATGAAGCCCTGCGGGTAACTTACCCTAAATGCGCTAACTGTTTTCTTTTATATTCTGAACTTAATTCGAAATCAAACTTTTTATGTTGAGAAAATGTCAGTTTGACAGAACAGATTTTATGTGATGGCCCCTTTAGCTATAGTTTTCAAATAATTTCAGTATTGAATAAAGTAATTTTCCTGTCATGTTAGTCCTTCTGGCATGACATAGAAGTCTTGACACAGACTGTGAACTGTTTTTGTAAAAGCTACAGTAGTTTTATGTCTAAGCAGTACTGCTCGCTCTCTGATATCTTACCGCACTGACCTGCACACCTCATATTTGTATTTCAGGAGACAACAGGAGCTGCCAAACGACTGCAGGTAAACAGCTGAACTGTGCAAGGACAGTTTTCATGTTTCTGAAAATGTTTAGATTGTTTTTATCATTTTTTAAGCCCCCATAAAGACTGACTGCATACTGATTCTGAAAGAAATGTCAACAGAAAATGATTAGATTTTTTTTCACCTAAAATGGTATAGACATCGTTCAAAGCCAAAGAAGAAATGGTCAGTTTACTTTCTTGAAATCTTTTTCTGTTACAGAAAAGAAGTGCAGATGCGAGCGAGGTAAGTGAAGAATGTGTTTCTGCTGATGATAGTGATTATTTGAAAATGGCACTCACAAGGGAACACATGTCTTTTGTCGATAGAATGGTTCAAGTCCTGTATTCCAATATTCATTTTTCAAAATTGAAAATTTTCAAAGAAGTCAGAGGATCATATAATGGCAGGTTTAAGGATTTTGGTGACGTCGCTAGCTAACCTCCCCTGTCATCTTCATCCCTTGTCTGTTGCACTGCCTGTTGATAAGTACATCAAACTATTCCACAGGGGGAAAAAACTGTGTGAAAGGTTTTTAAAGCCTGATGTTCACAGCTGAGTGTAAAGCGACTGGGATAAGGGTTGGCTGTTCCGAATTTAAAGAAGATGGGGGCCCTGTCAACCATGGTTCGGTCCATGGAGGTGAAGAGGGAGCTGAGACAGACAGCAAATTCACAGGCCGATCTTTGTTCCAACCCTCCTATGATCTCGGGATGTGACCCTGAGAACGCCTCAGGAACCATAAAGAGGAGCCGGGGAGTTGTCTGGGTTTTTCCTCTCAAATCTGAGGGCTCTGCAATAACCAGAAGAATATCAATAGATGGATGTACTGCCATTGATTCCACTTTTTTTGCCTGTTTTTATGTCTGGTGTCTGCCATCTCTCATCTGGTCTTCTGTTTCCAGGTGGAGGTGGAGGTGCGCAGTGTGACAGTGGACTGCACTGTGACGTCCCGCTTTGCCCACACTGTGATGACCTCCATGGCCTTAAACAAGGCAAACACATCCAAGGAGATCTTTTTTGAAGTGGAGTTGCCCAAGTCTGCTTTCATCACAAACTTTAGCATGTCAGTGAAATTTCATGAAATTTCCACTCTGTCCTCAGATGAACAGTTATTAGTATGCCCCCCCGCCTCCAATTTTCTTAACAATGCAGGTTTTTCTGTCTGTGTTTCTCAGGGAGATTGAGGGTCGGGTGTATGTTGGAGATGTGAAGGAGAAAGAGAAAGCAAAGAAACAATATGAAAAAGCCGTATCCTCTGGACAAACGGCGGGACTGGTCAGGTGAGTTGATCTGCGTGAGGTTTCAACATAAAACCATGTTCGTATCCACAGCAGCTGATCATTTTGTGTGTCTTTTTTTATTATTCCAGGGCTTCTGGAAGAAAGATGGAGAAGTTTTCTGTGTCTGTCAATATTGCTGCGGAAAGTAATGTGACTTTCATCTTGACTTACGAGGAGCTCCTTCAAAGGAAACTGGGCCAGTATGAGATTTTAACCCGGGTTAAGCCTAAAACACTGGTCCAAGAGTTTCGTGTGAGTGGATGCTTGTGACTCCATTTTGTTTCAGCATTTTTACCTAGTATGACCCTACTAATGTCACATATATATCTCATATTTTTACCTAACTGAAAACAGATCGTGACAAACATATATGAGCCTCAAGGCCTTTCCAACGTTGATGCCCATGCAACCTTCCTGTCCAATGAGCTGCTCCCCCTAGTGGAGAAAACCATCACTGACAAAAAGGTGAAGCGAGAGAGAGAGGGCGACCATGTCATGATCTGTCTTAAAGAGTTTTGTTTCACTTCTGCATACATGTATATTTTATGGTTTTATCTTTGTCCACTTGTCAGGCACACATTTCTTTCTCCCCAACTATGGAGCAGCAGAGGAAGTGTCCTGGTTGTGATGGAACCCTCATTGATGGAGATTTCGTCATTAAGTATGATGTGAATCGAAATAAGAGATTTGGAGAGATTCAGGTCAGCCACCTCTACATGTGTTAAAGACGTTCAAGGAGTTTGATAACCAGTTGCCATGAGGCAGGACTTTGGATAGTTTATTTTAATGAAGGCATTAGCTAATAAATTACAAACTACTGACTTATTTTGTTGTTTATGCTGGATTTTGCCAGTTTTGAAGTTGTTCTAATGCATGGTGGGCTCATATTTCCTTCAGATTGTGAACGGATACTTTGTGCACTTCTTTGCTCCGCCTGATCTGCTCAGAGTCCCCAAAAACGTGGTGTTTGTTATCGACCGGAGTATATCAATGGAAGGCACAAAGATGACACAGGTGAGCGACTGCCTGTGCTGTGGATGTGCTTTACCTAAAGAAACATGTAAACACTCATTTGGACCTCCGACGGTTTGCAGACACGGGAGGCTCTGCTGACCATCCTGAAGGACCTCCATGAAGAGGACCACTTTGCACTGATCCTGTTTGATGATAGAATCGATTTTTGGAGGGATACGCTTAACAAAGCAACTGAGGAAAATGTGGCTGCGGCCATGGCCTATGTGAAGAACATCAGGAGCCGTGGAGGTTAATACAACAAAAGAGCACAATATATTTCACACCACTTTTTCACAATGAGTATTTAAAAAAATGCATAAACAGATTCACCAGATTACATATTGTGTTCTTTATCAAGCGACTGATATCAATGAGGCAGTGTTGCGTGGAGTAAAGCTGTTAATGAAAGACAGAGAAGAAAAAAGGCTGCCAGAGACAAGTGCTGATATGATTATTTTACTGACCGATGGAATGCCAAGTAGCGGTAAGCATGCGGAATGTGTAAATACTCCAAATACAATATTTATTTGATAATGAACTTTACACGTAACACGACATTTCATGTGTGTTGTGTCTGTGCATCTGAAGGTGAGTCTCGAACCCCCAAAATCCAGCAGAATGTGCATTCTGCTATCGGGGGAAATATGTCTCTCTTCTGCCTTGGATTTGGAAACGGTGTGGACTACGATTTCCTGGACGTGATGAGCAAACAAAACAAGGGAGTGGCCCGCAGAATCTTTGAAGCTTCAGATGCATCCATTCAGCTGGAGGTGAAGGGTCTTATGCCACCCTTTGTACCACTTATTAGTCTTTTCTCTGTCTACTCTCTAACAATATTCATGAACCAATGCATCCATATATTTTTATGGGTATGATACCTTTTTTTCCAGGGTTTCTATCAGGAAGTGTCCGCCCCACTGCTGTTAGATGTGGATCTACAGTACCCTGACAATATGGTGGACTTTGTGACTACCAACCACTTCAGTCAGTTGTTTAATGGCTCTGAGATTGTGGTGGCCGGCCGGGTGATGGACAATGACTTGGACAACTTTCTAGCGGAAGTCGTTGGCCAGGGGGTGAGGAGGAGATGATATTTGAGATGTAGATGTAACACTAACGTTTGAGACAGCCTGTTAAGTCTTTTTTTTTTTTTTAAGAAATGTTCTTAGTCTTTTCAATATTCAATAGATGGAAGAAGAATTCAGGGAGCAGGGTGAGGCCAGTATTCTGGACTGGGATGTGATGTACCCAGACGAGAAGTATATCTTTGGAGACTTCACAGAGCGTCTGTGGGCTTACCTCACCATTCAACAATTACTGGAGAAAAGGTTTATTTGAGCCTTTTTGCCACTGATTTTTTTCTGGCCATTGTTAAAAAAAAACACCTTTGCTGACATTTTCCTATTTGTGTTAGACTCCATTGTGGTTTTCAGATCAAGTGATTGGTATGAACAAATATGTTATTCTTGTCACAGCAAAAGTGGGGCACCAGATGAGAAGGCCAATGCCACAGCAAAGGCCCTTGAGATGTCCCTGCAGTACAGCTTTGTCACTCCTCTCACCTCCATGGTGGTCACCAAGCCCGAGACCGAGGACGGAACTGCCAGGCCCCTCATCGCCGACAAACTCACTGAGGGTAACCAATCTAAACAAAAGAAGGGCTTTAAAAAGTGATGGTGTGCAGGGTCTTTTACAAGATTACAAGACAACAAAAGCATTTTCATCATATCAGTTTACTCAGACACATTGGTGATGAATGGAAGCTCAAGTAAAAATGACGAAATGCATCAGGTTAAGCTTGTCCATGTTTTTCTTCCCTTCCACAGAACAAAGGCAGCAAGCAGAGAGAATGGGTAAGACATTAGCAACATGCTGCACAAGAAACGATTTCAAAAATGTATTTTTATATTTTGATGGCTATTCCCTTCTTGTTGTGTATAGGATATCAGTATCCAGCCTCCCGTTCTTACGCAGCACCTCCCACTTATTTAGGTAAGCATGGCTCTGAGATACTTGTTGCATGCATTTACTTTCATATCGGTATTTAACAAGAAAATTCACTGCCTAATATCCCTATGACTTTTTACTGTTCATACAACTCAACAGTCATTGAGCTAAGTGTTATACAAAATAGCTAACATAGTCATAGACTGTGTATTTCATAATAAGGAGTCCTCCATCTGTTTTCTCTGTTACTTTGTTTCACCTGCAGTGGATGGAGATCCTCATTTCATATTAGAGCTCCCTGACAGAAATGATGCTCTTTGCTTCAACATTAACAATGCACCCGGAACCATTTTCACCTTGGTCAGAGACTCAGAATCAGGTTTGTTCTCCTCTCAGTTTGAAACATCTGTCTTTCTCATTAAGTTTATTGCAAAGTTACTACAATTTGAGTGCATATGTGAACTAAAACTTGAAGCATATATCTCACTTTAGACTTGTGTTAAACATGTTAGTTGTACGTTTGCCACGAACAGGTCCTAATCCTATTCATTACATTTTTACAGGTATTTTGGTCAATGGCCAGATCATTGGGGACAAGAAGATTCCCCCCAATGGGCAAATAAACACCTATTTTGGGCGTTTTGGCATCATCCACCAAACTTTGGGGATCAGGCTGGAGGTGAGCACTCAAGACATCTCAGTGTTCCAGGATGGCAAACAGATCAAGCTGCTGTGGTCAGATACGGTCTCCGTCAAAGGAACCAAGTGAGCAGTCCCATTTATCACCTCTCCCCTGCAAATCTTTTAGTACTCTCAAGCGGTTCACTTCAACATCCACTCTATTTGGCCCCTTTGCCCTTTTTATTTTTCACTAATTCCACACTATCTTTGAATATCCTTTTTAAATTAGAATTTTAAGTTGCTTTGGATAAAAGCGTCTGCTAAATGCATAAACAAAAATTAAGTTCAGCTAACATGTTAATATGTATTTATGATGTCTAGGTGTACTTAGTCTAAAGTAATAATTAGACCTTTTTCACATGGATCATGTAAACCTGTTAATTATTGTGTGTAAGATGTCTTGTGCTCACATTAATGCTGCTCACACTAACTTTTATTAATATTACTACATTCAATGTTTCCCTGCTTCAGTGTGGATCTTCTGGTGACTAAGGATCGCAGCCTAACAGTAACTCTCAGGGACTCGGTTAAGTTTGTGATCCTGTTGCACAAAGTGTGGAAGAAGCACCCGTACCACCGAGACTACCTGGGTTTCTACACCCTGGACAGCCACCTCATGTCCCCTTCTGTCCACGGCTTGCTGGGTAAATTCTGTCATATTTATGAAGAATAGCATGATATTCTCTTCCAGAGGAGTTATCCATTGAATGGACCTTCATCAGACTTGTGCAGAGCTTAACGAGCTGGAGGGCGGGCCCATTTATTCGAATCAGGTGTGCTGAAATAGGAAAACTTGGAAAACATGCATGGCAGTGTGACTTGAGGACCAGGGTTGGGAGACACTGTTTAAAGCTACATGTATTTAGATGAACACTGGTGTCTTTTTCATTTCATTTAACATATTTATTTTTATGCTAAATATGCTTCATGGTGATTTCAAGCCTAATCTTGGCTGTAGTTTTAGGGACTTTTTTAGTAATCCTTACTGACATCACGGTAACAAAGAGCTTGTGAACAAAATCAGGGCATTGTACAGTAAAAAGTAGAGAAGCTGAAATAAAAGTTCCTCTGGAAAAAAAAAAGACACGACCAGTGTAGAGATATATGTTCGTTATTATTAAAAACAATACTTTAATCATCTTTAGGTCAGTTTTATCATGGGATCGAGTATGAAGTGACGGACCTGCGTCCAGGAGAAGTCCCAGAGAAAACAGATGCCACCATGTTTGTGAAAGGGCAACGGCTCAACGTAACCAGGTATATGTAACACTGGATATATGCAAGTCTCCCCTCAGAGTTGAAGGTTCTATCTAATCTGCTTTTACAGTCTTACTCGAATATCTTTATTCGTCTTTCTGGATTCACAGAGGCTGGCAGAGAGACTTCAGGTTGGATGTGAAGAATGGAGAAAATGTTCCCTGCTGGTTCATTCACAGCAACGGCTTGGGCCTCATTGACGGAGATGCTGCAGACTACATTGTGCCTGACCTTTTTAAATCTGTTTAGATAGGAAAAGAAAACAGGTTTCAGTTACAGTATTGTGGTAGTTCTGACAACTTCTGGAATTAAAACTATTCCAAAGTAGATGGACTCGCAGAGATATCCTATTATTGTGCAAATTTCTCCCTTTCACTGTAACACTCTGGTGATTTAGTTTTCATAAGCTTCCTTGTATCTACTCAGTGTATGATGATAACATATCCTGATGGTTTAAAATATCAGTGTCTGAATGCAGATGCAAAAAAAAAAAAAAAAAGCGCAGCCGAATACAATACTGAACAGCATAACACCAAAAACACTAACAGCTATAGAACCCACAAGACACGTATATCATTGCGTGCCATGCTTTACTTATGCTATATGCTGAGAAATTGACACAGAATGTCTGTCCCAGGGAGCTTATACAGAGGGGAGAGAGATTAGTGAGCAGGTGAGAGAGGGAGCACCGGGGAAGGGAGTGGAACTGAGGGACAAGAGTGAAGCAGGTGGTACACGGAATTACACAGGTAATGGGCTACATAAACCACAGTACAAAACAGGATAAACAATAAATAATGGAAAGTACGAATTCAACAAATAACCAGAACATAATACACCCAAACTTAATAATATGGAAATTCTTGTAGTTTTCAGAAGCTGGCTAGATTTGAATGGCAAAGTCTTCTGTAAGGACTTTTATACCCCATGATGCTAAATAAAAGTTTTATTGGTGGAAAGACCTTTGGTGGAACGAACTGTCCTTTTGCAGGCTATAACATGAAATGCAAACGGCAAAAGCGCTCTCCAAAGAACAAGTTAGTACAAGCTCAGCATCATTTCCACGGCCTCACTCTTCATCCATTGTAATCTCCACAAATTATACCAGGAGAAGCAACCTAAGCACGCAGATTCTCGTAAAGGCACTGTGAATGCCACAGGGGCAGATGGCCCCTCTTCCTGTAGAACAGTGTGGGCGGAGTAAGTATGGGAAGGCTCGATCCCCAAATGCCTCGAATTCCCCTCACTTGTTTTCAACTGTGCCAGAGGAAAGAGCTTCCCGTGTTGCGGTCATGCCCACAATGTGGAGATCTGTGCTGCTGGGGGTTTGTGTCTGCATCTGTGTTCCAGCTCCTGTCCAGGGAGCTCTGGTTATTTCCAAAAGAGATGCCACATCAGAGGTATTTGAGACAAATCATAATGTGCAGCATTAGGATGTTTTTTTCATTTGTTTTGCAAATTCAAGACTTTATATTCCTTAAACTGCGGTTGTTTGAATCTTTCTCTGTGAAGTGTCGGTGGCATACAGGAATAGATGTGCTGTGACTTTCTGACAGAAGCAGCATGAATTTTCTGTTTACAAACACTGTTCTGAGTCACTCATAAACAACACGGCATTACTGTCTATTTACGATCAATCTTGACGCATGAAAATTCTCTCTATCATAAAATATAAACGTTGTTCCACCACAGGCCTAAAGACTGCTCTTCGTTTTTGATTGAGTCTTTTCACATAACCAGACTAAACAAATTATGTTTCATAACTTTGGGGTGATATTGTAAAGTTTGTCAATTTGTTCCAAAATTGTAGCTCCAAAATAGTCATACTGCCTATAACACAATAATAAAAGTGCTGAAGGTGAGATGTAACTTGTCTTAGAATGAAGTGTTCAGTAAGATCGATAAGTATGACCCTGCTTGCTTTTCATCCCTTGCAAATGTTTTACTCGCATTTATGTCTATGACTGTTTTTTTCCTCTAATGAAGCAGTTTTTCTCCTTTTATTCAAGCCTGCATTTTCAACAGTTATCTCAACCCAGTCTTACATCAAGGGCTTAACTGTATATGGAAAGACAAACTGGTGCCCACACATGAAAATCAGTTGTTTACATATTCTTGAGAAACTTGCTCCTTACAATACCTTGTAAAACACAGAGGAGGGAGCTTTAGGGATGGTACAGTATGTATGTATTTATGATTTGTATGTATGGTATTATGTATGTATTTAAGGATTTCTTAGCAGGGTGGAGTCTCCGGCAAGGAGTAACATGAAATTCTCTGCTTTGTTCCAGGAGACCACAGACACCGTGGGCACCAGGTCAATAAAGGTAGTCGGCTTACTTACAATCGCTCTCATACGGAAATAGTGAGTCACATATTCTCATCCAGTATTAACTAAAGATATTTTGTCTTTTTTCTCTCACAGAAAAGAAGCACAAGCTCTGAAAATGTAGGACACATATTCACATTTGCTTAATTGATATGTAAAACCCAGATGTAATATCAAAAAACAAATGAAACGGTGGTTATGATAACTGGGGGCTTTGATTTTACAGTAAATGACATTGTTTGCTTTTCCAAAATCAAATCCACATTTCCCACAAACCTCATTGATTCCAGATGCCATTTGCTTTGGTCTGCTGACACATGTTTTCACAATCAGATTGATGCTTTGGGGAACAGAAAGTTTCCCATAACATTGTATTTATAAGTCAGTGGTGTCTTTTTTGTTTCGCAACACAAATTGGTAGGGGGCATTTCTCAATAACATCCAACCCAGAACTCAGCGGAGAGATAACAAGAAGCACCCCATCATCTTGGCCACTAGTCTAGTTTATTTAAATACTCTGGGAGTTTTTGAGAAACATCTCATTTCACCAGCCTGACATCTTATCTTCTCTGTCCAAACTTTGCGAAGGTGGACGTGTACAGTGTCGGAGTGGCTTGCACGGTGACTTCTCGCTTTGCCCGCACCGTCATGACCTCCAAGGCTCGAAACACAGCTAATTCTACCCAGGAGATCCATTTTGAAATGGAGCTGCCCAAAAGTGCCTTCATTACCAATTTTAGCATGTCAGTTCAAACTCTGTACTTTTGCCAGTGAGCGTGAGAAATTTCTGATTGGGCCTGACAAACAGTTGTTCTTGTGATTGACAGGGAAATCGATGGCCAGGTGTATTCTGGACAGGTGAAGGAGAAGGAGAAAGCCAGGGAACAGTATGAAAAGGCTGTCTCCTCTGGACAGTCTGCTGGACTGGTCAAGTATGTTGGACTGAGGAAAAGAAAAAGAAAGTTGATTTTAAAAATGAAAATAGGGTATGTGAATATAAAACCTTTTCAATCTGTTTCCACTACAACAGGGCATCGGGCAGAAAGATGGAGAAATTCTCAGCTTCTGTTAACATTGCTGCCAAAAGCAGTGTAACCTTCCAACTTATCTATGAGGAGCTGCTTCAGAGGAAACTGGGCCAATATGAGATTTTGATTCGAGTTAAAATTGAACAACCAGTGGAAGACTTTCAGGTTGAAAACACTGTTCCCTTTTAGATTTTCATTGTGTTAGTTAAACTTGGTCTGTTTCAGTAAAGGTGTGTTCTTGGACAGATTCTGGCAGACATCTATGAGCCGCCAGGACTCACATCGGTTGAGGCCAGTGCAACATTTCTTACCAATGACCTGCTCCCCCTGATAGACAAAACCATCACAGAGAAAAAGGTGAAGAGTGAAACAGATCTTCTTCATTAAGGTTTTGCATGCCATTACGTAGTAGATGTTTTTTATTTGTGTCAAATATGTAAATTTTTCTTTGCAGGCACACATCTCTTTCTCACCAACAGTGGAGCAGCAGAAGTGTTCGGGTTGCAAAAACAGACTGATTGATGGAGATTTCATCATTAAGTATGATGTGAAACGAGAAAAGAGCATCGGAGAGGTTCAGGTCAGCGATGGTCAAGTACTGCGTTGAGAAAAACAGTGTTGCTTTCTTGTCAATCTTGATAAAATTGGACATTTCTCTACAGGTTGTGAATGGATACTTTGTGCACTTCTTCTCTCCCCCTGACATGGTCAGAGTCCCAAAGAATTTGGTGTTTGTAATTGACAGGAGCGGATCAATGTATGGAACAAAGATTAAACAGGTAACTGGACACCGGTGCATTTTAAAGTCCCTTTAACTGTACATGCATCATCGTGTTTTAAGTTGGGAATTTTTTCCAGACTAAAGATGCTATGGTGGCCATTCTGAAAGACCTGGATGAAGATGATCATTTTGGTATCGTCCTGTTTGATAGTGATATTGATTCCTGGAAGGACTCTCTTACCAAAGCGACAAAAGAGAATATTTCTAAAGCGATCAGCTATGTGATGAAAATAGAGCCAGATGCAGGTATGAGGAACGTTTGCAAAGAATCCTTTTCTTCTCATCAAAAGTCCTGGTTTAATTATTATTTATGATAAATTATTTTCTCCACTAAGGTTTCTGCACTGTCTTGTAAGCTTTAATGCTCAGTAAATGTAGTTACTAATGAGGTTAGCAGGAAACATATCATCTCCTCAATGTCCTTGAGCATTACAATTTTTTAAAGTTTTATGTTATTTCATTTCAGCCACTGATATCAATGGCGGTGTATTGATGGCAGTGAGCATGCTAAAGAGCGAAAGACAAGACAATAAAGTTCCAGAGAGAAGCGTGGATATGATCATCTTACTGACTGATGGGATGCCAAACCATGGTGCTGTGAGATTTGAAAGTGTCTTTTGCATACTTTGAATGTTTCAAAATGAAATTATTGTTTGAAAAGAGGACATTTTGCCCTCCAGAGTTGCAAAGTACAGTAGTTTAACTTAAGACTACTTTGATGTTTTTGACATTTTGACAATGTCTGTTAGAGGTCAAGTGCAAAAAGGACTGTATAATACACTGTAAGTCTCTATATCTGCAGGGGTTTCCAACACTCAGAAGATCCAGAAGAATGTGCAGTCTGCTATCGCTGGGAAGATGGCCCTCTTCTGTCTTGGATTTGGAAATAATGTGGCCTATTCCTTCCTGGATGTGATGAGCAGACAGAACAAAGGACTGGCTCGTAGAATCTTTGAGGGTTCAGATGTGGTCGTTCAGCTCAAAGTAGTGTACACACATCCACACGCAGGCAGCAAGCAGATTGGGAGGAAAAAGTACCGATCTAGAGTTTGTCATTGTTCCAGGGTTTCTACGAAGAAGTGTCCAACCCATTGCTCTTTGAGGTAGAACTGCAGTATCCTGATGGTGCAGCAGGCTCCTTGACCGAAAACCGCTACAGTCACTTGTTCAATGGCTCGGAGATTGTGGTGGCTGGGAGGCTGGCTGAAAATGACATGGATAACTTTTTAGTGGAGGTCTCTGCCAAGGGGGTGAGAAATCAACAACAGGCAACTTGTCACTGTCAATATGAATGAGACCTGTAAGGTAGAACTGGTGAACAAGTACCAATTGTTGGAACAGTCTTGACTCTTCATAAGGCTATTCTCTTCCTCTCCTGTCATTGAATGCCGTCTCTTTTTAGCCTCAAGGGGATGTTCAAGTACAGGAAAATGCCAGAAGGACAAACTGGCACACGTTGTTCCCAGAACAGGAATACATATTTGGGAACTTCACTGAACGTTTATGGGCCTATCTCACCATCCAACAACTACTCGAGAAAAGGTCCATCTGAAAACCATGGCAGCTTTCTGAGGAAACCACTAAGACTATTTCTTATGGCTAAATTGCATGCAATGCTCATTATTGAGTATGGGAGAAGGAAACAATGATGTCTTCTCTCTGTCTCTATTCCAGTGGCATCAGTTCTGAGGAAGACAAAGAGAATATGACAGCAGAAGCTCTGGAAATGTCTCTGCGGTATGGCTTTGTCACCCCTCTCACCTCCATGGTGGTCACCAAGCCGAAATCTGAGGATGGTGCCGACAGCTCTTTTATCGCCGACAAACTGACTGAAGGTCATGTCATGTTTAGATACATAGCATTCAGCACATTCCCAATGACTAGGGGCTTATACACATGTTGATTTCTCCTGATGACAACAAGTTTTGCTAGCCAGTGACATTCAACTCACCTTATGTTATACATGTTCTGCTTTATAGACCAGCGACAGAGAGCAGAGAGAAACAAAGGTATACAAAGTATCCTTTTATTTATTCATTAATGAGGAATGTCATTAGACCCTATCACCTTGATACATTCATTATTTTTGTCCCACAGCACTCAGAACTCCTGCCTCTAGCCGGAATGTAGCAGATGGTAAGCTTTGATACCGCATGTCTACACTGTCACTGACTGAGAGTGAGGAGCTGCCAGTTGAATCTAACTCTTTATTTCATGCAATAAAAGAATGCATGAATTTTTTTTAAAGTGCATGATGTGCTACATCTTGTGTCGCAAGTGGAATTATGCAGGTTTAATGGGGTTTTAGTGTTTTATTAATTTTAACATCTTTGATTTGTTCTTTCAATTTTGGAAAAGGGCAAGAAAAAGTTGGCCTATTTTTAGACAGCTTTACTTCAGATTTTTATTTCATGGGCAATCTAAACATCAATATAACATGGCAAAATTGAGTTCTGCTTTAGATTAGCTTTTTGTATGGATTAACGCTTTGGTGTTCATTTTGCAGTGGATGGAGATCCTCATTTCATGATCGAGCTGACGGGCCGAGACGATGCTCTCTGCTTCAACATAAATGACAAACCAGGAACAATTTTCAATTTGGTCAAAGACCAAAAGTCAGGTTGACCTGAATTCCTACTCAGCCATTTCAAAAACACGTGTTCTTTACTGTGTAAGACGTAAGAGAATAATTTTTTATCATTGTTAGGTTTTGTGATTAATGGGCAGATCATCGGCAAGAAGAATTTCTCTCCAAATGGCAACAACAATACCTACTTTGGTTGTTTTGGTATTATACATCAGAAGCTAGGGATTTGGTTGGAAGTTGACATTCAGGATATCTCAGTTTTTTATGATGGCAAGCAGGTGAAGCTGCTGTGGTCTGATACAACTTCCCTTAAAGACAACAAGTAAGCATCCCTGCTTTGCATCTGTTTCCCTACAACATGTTTTTGTATGTACATGTATGTTGTAAAAAAAACTACAATTCGGCTCTATTGCCCTTTTATAGCAATGATGAGGCTATCTTATCTCATTTTACTAAACTTAGGTCTGACTGAGAAGTAAAAATCTACCTGTCATGGCTATGAAATAATTATGACTTTACCAACTTGCTTTCAGCTAAAAAATAAAATGGTTGTTTTGTTTTTTCTTCCAGTCTGGACATCAGATTAAACACCTCCAGCATGACAGTGACACTGAAGCACTCAGTAAAATTTATGATAATCAAACATACAAAAATTTGGAAAAGACGCCACGAGAAGCAAGACTACCTAGGTTTCTACACCATTGACAGCCACCATTTGTCTCCTTCAGTTCATGGTCTCCTTGGTGAGAAAACAGCTAAAGGTTGTGATAAACTGATAAAACGACACAGTATGTGAAATGCATATACATCTATGTGCTCTTATCTCCCAGGGCAATTCTACAATGGGGTTGAGTTTGAGGTGACAGAGTTGCATCCTGGTGAAATCCAGGATGAAACTCAGGCCATCATGTATGTGAAGGGACAAAAACTCAACGTGACCAGGTACACTTGACTGAGTTCGAACACACATCGAAAATGCATTCAAAATTTCAGATCATTAACAAAACAACATGTTTTGAATTTTTTATATGTCTTGCAGGCACTGGCAGAAAGACTTCAGCAGGGATGTGAAGAATGGAGAAGATATCCTCTGCTGGTTGGTTAGCAGTAGTGGAAGAGGCCTCATCGATGGGACCGCTTCAGACTATGTGGTGTCAGACCTCTTTACAGTTTGAATCTCGAAAACTGTGGCATGTTAAGTTTAATTGCCATGATGCAGCAGGGATGCAATTTTTGTTCGTAACAAAGCAGTGTCTTCTCTAAAATCCAGTAAAAGTATATAAATGGTCATATAGCGTTTCTAGCTGTAGCTATGAACAGTTTATCATTTTAGACCAGTTGAAATCAAACATAATAACATATACCTTTTTTTAATCGGTAATTAACATGCTGGATAAGTAACAATATTTTTAGAATAACTTTTCAGTGAGTGGCAGTAGTAACATTGTATGTTCCCTGAAACTTTTAGGGGTTCCTTCAGTCTATGACTGCATTTTGGGCTGAACAAAAACGATGAGAGTTGTTTTCCTCACAGCTGTGGTAGTCAGATAAATCAGTGCATGGTTTGTATAGCAACTGACTTTAGATCTATGTAAAGTACCACGATGTAACCCCATTAGAAGCATTGGATAATGTTATTAAGGTAAACTATTTTTATATTATTATTATTGTCAGCTGTAATTTTTGTTGGCAGCTATGTGACACGTGTATAGCAAAATGGGACACCAGAGAGCTTCTGCAGGGGGAAAAAAAGTCCTAATGGAAAGATTGGAAGAAATCACCTTGTAAACCCCATGACTTTCTTTCTTTCTCCATCTCTTTCTTTTGTTTCTTTCGATTGTTATGTATCTACAGAAATTTAACTTTGCCATCAATTCAGCTGCAAAATTAAAAGCACCAAATATAAAAAAATTGCTTCATAAAACAGTTTGGTGACTCATGTTCTTGTAGAAAGAAAAATGGGGGGACTCTTTACCGATCTAATGAAAAAATTAGTTCCATCGTTTTGACTGATCAAATATCTTAAACAGAACATGCTCAATAAAATCAGCTGGCCGTCGATTGATTCTCGTCAAATGATGTAGCTTTGCCAGAGATATAAACTCCTATGGTAAAAAGGTCTTGGAGAAAGTCTCAGTCTGTATTCCCACCTGATGTAAAATCAATAAAACTAACCAAAGCAAGAACTGACAGTCGTCAGTGATTTGTAGACGCCTCTATGTCCCAAAGCCTTTGAGTTGGTTCGGTCCAACTCGTCCAGAGAGACACATTTTGAACTCGAATCAATATCCTTTCGGTCGACACACGGACAAACAATAAACTGGTGAGAAACATAAGGCTATATTTATTCACCGTATAAAAATATACATAAACAGACTATGGCAGATTATATGAATGCGTTTTGTGTATTTGTGACACCAGGATAATTGTGAATTGGATCGAAAAACTGAACTGTCGCAAAAACACAGAACTGTAGCGTACCGGTAAGCTAACTTCATCAGCCTCTCGATTTAGTTGTAGCCCACTTGTCGGACTGTGGAGATATGATATCAGACTCGACGCTTTTCTTTGTGATAACAGTGCGGACACTGGATCCATGAGCCTGGCAAATGTCCAATGGCAGTTAAGGCTTTGGTGAAACTTTCCGCTGTCCAGGGGGCGAAATATCGCGGGAGTTCAGACTGACATTTGATTGCTCAGGTGTGTCACCGGTATGCCGAACGGTTATTTATATTTTTCAGCTCTCAGACAGGTGAGAAACTTGTATCACACCGGTGCCCTTCATTTGGCCGCTATTTCACTTCCTCCCTCTTCCCTATTTCTTGTTTCCTTGTAGGGATAACATAATTAATGCATGGATACATAAACACTTAAATGTATGCCATTAGGTGGTGAAATGTAGCCTCACAAAACAATTATTTTAAGCTAATTCTGTCGTCCAACACTTCTGTTTATTGGTTAATTGTTTCCCCTAGTTTTTATTTTAAACAATGTGCTTTCCTGTCAATATAATACTATTATTATTTTAACTGTAATTCAGTAGGACATAAAAGTCATAACACGAAGGATATATGGAAACTAAAAATGTACCACTGTATGCCTTTTTGATGTTTGGGTTCAAATTTGTCTGATACCCCTCGGTTGCTCACATTGCTTCAACTTTAATGAGGGCATACTGTCTTACCCAGATTATATATTTAATTTTTTAGAGGAGCACCCCACAAAACAGCTGAACAAATCAGGTGGACATCCAAGTAAGATGCAGGTATTGGCTTATTAGGAAGTGAAATCAGTCCATGTGGTCGATTCTTACGTTTAGTTGAAAGTGTTGCATGGACCCAATCTTTGCCAAAAACAAACTATATTCCTCAGTACTTTGTGGACCTCATTAATGGTATTCCAAACATATTGACAGCACATATTTAAGCCATGACTGAGGTCATTATTTTTCTCCTTTCAGAGAAATAGCTCAACACAGCGGCTGTGAAAATCTGGAGAGACAGGAACAGCAATTTGCAGGTAAAAGAAGTTTAAGATTTGTTATCCATTTTGGTGAAATGAATTTGGTTTTGGAGAATAATGACTGTGTAGACTGTTTTTGGTGACCTTTAACTTGTATATTAGTAGTTAAAAAATATATCAGTCTGATTAATATTGAAATTAAATATGACCTACGGTATATAAAAAAACAGACACTCTTACACTGACTTTTATTTTTATACAGATGCCCTGGATACCCTCAAACTAACTGATGTTAGTTTAAAGGTATTTACTTATAAAATATAATGAATTATTTCTTGAAAATTTTAAGGATTCAGATGTAAAGTGCAAGGATTATTTTAAAAATCCTGAGTCCCGTTAATGGCCCATCTGTTTTTCCAACAAAATCTGGTGTCTGTGCAAAACAAATCAAGATTTTTTTTTCAGGGCAGTGTACATTAGAAACATTTTTAACCTTGTCTGTTATTCATAGGATTAAAAAAAAAAACTTATTATAACCGTAGAAAATGTATGTGTTTCTAAAGATTATACATTTAGTGTCATCTTGCATTGTAACGATTTTGAGTGAGTTTGTAGCGATTTTATGTGGACTAGATTTCTTTGGTGCGTTAAGGCAAGTATGAATGTAAAAAAAAAAAAAAGAATTCAATTTTGGAAATCTTTATGTATATGTCTTTTGCATATATTTTTTCATCTTGTTAAATATCTATTCTACTTATTTTAAATTGTGTGAAAGTGAATTTTTAATGCTATACTTAATATGACCAAAAGAGCCTCTTATAAATGACATACAATATAAGAAGGTAAAGAATTAAGCCAATACGTTTTGGCAAGTCCAGTTATTTGCAGTCTATTTATGTCCTTGGGTACCAGTGAAAAATTATGTCTGTTTCAATGTTACATTCTTTCAGTGGACACACATTTTAGCACAGATAGAATTATCTAGATTCTAGAATGTCTTTTTTTTAAAGTGTTGGCGCTTTATTTCTGAGCTTTTCACGCTACACTGTACTCATCCTGACTGGGGACCACTTGTCCCTTATTACTGATTTGTTTGTGTGTCTTCTATGCAGCCAAACTAAAATGTTTTCTGTTATTTGATGGTTAAGATACCTCCTCCTTGCATTGCTACTATTGCATGGCCTTAGTGTATCCAGGGCAAGTGTGTTGACCCCAGTCATGTCGGAAGTTCAGGAGTTGAGAGGGATTTTCAGAGGAGGAATCTTTGTTGAAGTGTTAGCCCGTGCGCGTCTGACGTTTACATGTGTGTGTGTTTGTGTAAGCTTCTCTGATTAACACCAGATGTGAACAGGCTCACGGTCTTTGCACTAGATTCAGAGGGCCTCACGGTACTCTGTTTGGCCTCTCTTGCAGAAAATGCTCATGCAGTGTCTTCACACATGGCTGACATGAATTATTTTTCTGTCTGTCCTCAAGATTCTGACAAGGTTCGAACGTTCAGCTCATTCTGAATTTGAGGAATGGCTTAGTTGGGTATTGATGCAGGTCTCCCGTTGCAGATTTCCAGCTACTCCACCAGAGGGGGTGAGAGAGCTGTAAAACATCTGGAGCGTCCCTGAACTCAAAACCTACAGCCTTGATCGACCTTATTAACTTTTTTTCCCAGTTTTTTTTACATTAACTTAAAGCACTAGAAAAAAAAAAAATTTCTGTGTTATTTTATGGTGACGTTAGTTCACAGAAAATTACACTTGAATACAATTTAGCAGCCATCCATTAAACAACTGGATATTCTGCCAAACACTGACTAAATTAAAGGATTTGCCCCAATTTATGACTAGTTAATCAATTAATAATTTTGATCATTCTATTTTCCAGTAAATCTATGACTAAAACAGACAAACCCAATTATCTCAGCTAACAGTTGGATGTAGAATTTTTATTCCATGTCCACGACCAAATTTAACTAACAGTGTAGCAAAAACATTTTTATTTTTGTAAAACTAATACATTTTTATATATGTCTGGAATAGTTGTAATGAATATGCAGAAATCTAAATATATTTGGTCTTTCTGATAGAAAGTTGCATGGCTCCAGATTTTTTCAAGTGAACATAAAGAACATGGAGTCAAAAGTGTCTCCATGTCCCATTTAATAAGGTAGTTCCCTAAATACTTAACTTTGCTGATTGTTTTAATCTTATCTCACTTCCTCTATTCTATTCTCACTTTCTTAAACTCCGTCCTCCATCACAGGTTGCCTCTCTCACCCACATGTCTCTCTACCTTTTGTCCCTATGTGAATATTTCACATTGCTGCTGCCGCTGGTGCGTGATGCGGGAGACTAAGCGTTCATTGTGTGCACGCTGTGTGGGTGCTGCGGTATGCGGCCTTTTGGCGTGCGGTGTGTCGTGACAGGCGTGTGGCTGCTGACGCCAGCCGGCCGCCTGCCGGTCTGTCTCTCCGTCGGTTCAGTTACACCTGACCAGAGATGACAATGCTGTGCCCACACTCACAAAAACACACACAGAGTCCCTCTTTCATATGCGCCACAGTATTAAACATGATTCCCAATAGTTGGGTAATACTAGCTCACTGATTTGCTGGCAGAGTGGTCAGGAATGAGTGAAACATTTAATCTTTGGTGTTGCCTTTGATCTCCATGAAGGAGCGGATGTAACAAAAAATTTTCTGAGAACTTAATTTGCAATAAAAAATCCATAATACTACTTCAGTTATTATCAGATCTTACATATTCTTTCCTTATTTCCTTTTACAGCTTTCTTCTCACAATTATTATTTCCATTAAGGCATATTTATGCAATAAATCCTTCAACACATGCACTTGTTGCTTCTTCTCCACTAGATTTAGTTTTTGTGGTGTTTGTATTTTTGCCATTGTTGAATGTTAGAATGTTGCAGTGAAGGTCTGCTCTGCTCTGCAATGCCGTGGAGGAGCGGGCTATATTGTAGCACACCTTTGTGTAATCTTCGGTATTTAGTGTGTTCTCTCAGGCTGCTGAGGTGAAAAGTTGAATCCAGTGTTGACCCTCTCTTCAGAGAGGGCTTAGTTCTGAAGTCAGGCGCAGGCCAAAGGCGCAGGGAGGATATTCTCAAGTTCCTCTTTCCCTCCTTCATGCGCTCCATTTCTCTCTACCACCCTCCCCTCGCACACGGAAACAATTAGCATCTGTGATAAGATGCTGTACATATTTCCAGCATTTTATCCCACTGGTTTTGTTTGTTTGTTTTTCCATCAGGACAAAAGTCTTGTGTCCTCTTGTCATGGCGTTGTTAATCACAGTTCCATCTCATCTAGGTGTAAGGAGTTGGACAGAGGAGGAAGGAGTTAGAGACTGAGAGGGGCCTAATGTTTATCACTGCAGGGAGTTGAATTCCAGATGTTGAGATAATGAAGAAAATAAGCAAACAATTATGCAAAAATAGACAAAGTGGGGGAAAAAAACGCACAAGCAGACTGACAGACGACAGGAGTTAAGCAAAAATAAGCTAGTTTGGATTTTGACTCAAGAGTCAAAGTTTAACTAAGTTTAGTGTTGTCACCTGAAAGCAATGGATGATTTTTTGGGGGGAGGGCTTGCAATTCAGCTTTAATCATTTTTGCCACCTTAATAAATGTTTAAGTGAACCAAGACTCTGTATTAAAAATAGCCTCAGATTGCAGTTATTTCAATATTTGAACAGACTGAGTGTCCTCATAAAGGTCAGAGTTT